TGAGTGTGCAATTCTGGTAAATGCTGATCTTTAGCTAATGATTGGATATGCCTAACTTGTATAAACATTCTCGCCAAATTAGTACTTGGTTGAATTTTGATCAGTTTAGTACATAATATAAAACAATATTGATATGTAACTGCTTTTTGAATATTACTGCAGACACATGCGGAGCAGTTAACGTTTACACATACTACTTATTATAACATATTATAAATGACTTTTTAACAAGAAATTATATTGTGGAAATTGAAAACATCAAAGTAATCTGTATTTGTTTTACACATTATTAATTTTTGGCACACTCTATCTAATTCAGATATACTTCTCAGAAGTATTAAATTAGAAAAGTTCATAAATCACATCAACGGAGTAAATTAGTTTAAACCTAAGTATAAAGTCACATACTAAATTACGGTAAATAATACAGTACTTTTAAATAAGTTCTATCAAAACTTTAGATTTTTTAACCCTGTATACCACCATTCCCCATGAGAAATTGAAAAATTGTCTAAATGAAATAATCCACAATACTTTGCAACATATAAATGGTAGCATACGCTATAACTTTATTACTTTGGGATACCATTCGGCATATTTTGTTAATAATGAACAAACAGGTAAAACATGCAACACAGAGGAACAAGTGATCAGTATGCCTGAGTTTCTTATTGACAACATATTTGTTGAATTTGGAGGTAGACTTTTTCAACAAATTGTCGGCATTCCTATGGGAACGAACTGTGCGCCTCTCCTTGCCGACATCTTTGTATTTTAATATGAGACGGAGTTCCTTCAGACACTTGTCAAAAACAAGAAGATCAAAGAAGCCAGGTCATTTAATTTTACATTCAGATATATTGATGATGTTCTTTCCATTAACAATCCAAACTTTTCTGATTGTGTTCCATTAACATATCCCCCAGAACTAGAAATTAAAGAAACAACATACACGGCTTCCTCCGCCCCATTTTTAGACTTATACCTCGAATTTGACATACACGGTCATCTCAGTACCAGAATCTATGACAAAAGAGACGATTTCAATTTTAAAGTTATCAATTTCCCCCACCTTAATAGCAATATACCAACTTCACCTCCATATGGGATATACATTTCCCAACTTATTCGGTATTCAAGAGCTTGCAGCTATTACGCAGACTTTGTAAAACGTCACCAGTGTCTCAGCAGAAGGTTGATGAACCAGGGGTGTGTCAAAGAACGTCTCGTTCTTTTTCTAAAAAGGTTCATCGGAAGATACCAAGCCCTTGTTGATAAATATTCCGTATCAACTTCACAAATAATTGACGATGATCTTGAAGTGTAGATTCTAGGAATTGACGTTGTTTATCATCTTAATAACATGTTATAGTATTCTTTTCTTTGTCTTTTAGAATATTACTTTTACTGTTTAGTGTATTTTTTGTGATATCCATTTGACGTGGCTCGGTACATGTACATCCCGTCATTGTGTTATTGTGCTATGGTAAAAGTTTGTATTTTTGTCTTTCATTTTTGCTTATGTGCCTTGTCTATATGCCCTTTTGTGTTTTTTTGTTACATATTTGTTTGTTTTTATAGTGATTAAGATAATAACACAATGTTGACTGTTGTACCCCTATTTCGACATTTTTACCTACTATGTCTTTTTGATTTGTTCACACATCGTTGTCAATATAATGGAATTGTATGCGACTGTCATACAAATGAGAGGTTTAGCTAGCTATAAAAGCAGGTTTAATCCACCATTTTCTACATAAGAAAATGCCTGTACCAAGTCAGGAATATGAGAGTTGTTATCCATTCGGGGACGCTCCGTTTTATTCGGTAAATTCTAAATTTTAAATTTCGGTATTTTTGTGATTTTACTCTTTTTCAGACATTATTAAACTTGTCCTTAATAAGTTATCTATGGTCATTGACGTTTTTGGCAAAGAAACCATTAATATTCAAAAACAAATACGGTAATTTAACAAAGACTTATTACTTTCTCTGAACATGAATTGAGAAAAAGCGGCGAAAGATATCAAAGGGACAATAAAAATCATTGGTCGAAAATTTACTAACAACGTTAACATGACTAGACAATAGAACCTAAACAAGCAAAAAGTAAATTAAAAGAAAAAAAAAACAATTTGTCTTATAATACAGTCTTCACTAAAAAATAAAAAAAATAAATAGCTATTACTTATTTTTTTATACAGATTTGATAATATTGAAATGATTTCAGTTGTTTGTTTTATATACCAATGTTGTTTAATCCATATTTGCAGGCTGACAAAAACAAAAACTAATTACGCAGTTAGCAATCAAGGGTAAACACTTATCGTAATAGTTTGAAAAAAAAAGCCTGGGCGCTTTCTCATATTTTTATATACATGTACGAAAAAGATTATCTGATGAATGTTAATATGAATATCTAAAATGAACAAGTTGGTATATCTTAGATCGTGCAGTACTTGTTAAGATTTATACATATTTGGTCCAGACAAAAAAATTGCATTAGCTGAAACTAGTAAAACAATTTTGCAACGTCTCACATAATGTGTTTACTCTGTAGCGCACCTACACTTCTTAATGATTTTAAAATTTAATAAACTAACAACTGCAATATTTTCAGCAATTGTGTTCCAGTTGAAATACATGCGATATAAACTTCAATTGCTACTTTTCATTGTCCGGTATTCATTTTCTACTCAAATGGTCATTCAAATTTTGTTTGGGCTATTTATATGTTTTGCTGTTGACACACAAATCTCGAAAACAATCAGTGTTTTAAACAGTAGATACATACAAGATGTGTGTTTCATTTACACGATAAAGGCATAAAGAATCCATTCATACAACTTTTTTTTCCTGGGTATTCAATTGTTTTATCATTTTGAAAAATAGATATTGTATCACGATATTATCATGTACGGGTTGATTTTATAATGTATTTATCAATCAAATATTTAAAAGAACAAACTTTTTTTTTCGTCAACCACTTTTCAATTACTGTCAATATCCAACAAAGAAGGTACTCTCCTTCCAAATAAATAACCACGACTTGATGTTGTACTTGATTACATTCCATCATTTTAATCCCTTTTGGAATGTGAATTAAATGTCGATAAAACTGTAAAAGATTATAGGGCATATGTACCAAATTTCTCCTATAAAAAGTTTTCTTTCATATTTAAGATATCAGAAATCATTTAAAATTCGTTGAGATGGTTATCATATTATCATATTATCCTATTAAACCTTTTTCGATATTTAAAATAAAGCTTTTGACGGAAAATGTTTCGATTCAATTGATGTTTCCTTTTTGCTATAACCTGGTAACTGATAAGAAGTAAACTGACATATTTAAAAAAAATATATATATTTGTTAATCTGACGTGGAGTTAAACTCCATCTGATATTCAAAGTTTACAATTTAGGATACACAACGTAGCACATCTAAATCTAATATTTTTACACACTTGTTAATGTTTTGTGGTGAGATAATGCTAAATAATTATCCATTCGTGAATTGTTCAATGTTTCATTTTAGGCTTAAATAAACTATCGATTTGCTAAGGTATAAACCAAATGTTGTCACAAGTGGTTCAATACCCTATAAATTGTTTGGATCATCCAACTTTTTTCCGGATCCTTTACGGGGATTGTGTTGCTTTTTTCATTCTTCTGTACAGTATTTTGTAAACTGTTTTCGGTCAAGTTGTGAGAAGTTTTTTATCATGCAATCGTTCGGTATTTGTGTTGCCTTCGCCTTTTGAAACCTGCTTATATTTTTACTCAGTGGTAAACTTAGGTAATTCACGAAATCAGTAATAACAATTTTCGTGTCACGAATGTTTTGTTGATCAGTCCGTTCTGGTTAATGGGCGAGTTTTGGCCCCATACATAAAACTATTTAACAAGGTTGAAAAGGTTTAAAATTTCTACGCAATGAATGAAATGATTTTTTTTCTTTTTGAGGCTAATATCAGTATATACATTTTAAGGAGGTATACACCTTTTCTTATGATACTTTCAAATATCATACATTAAGGAATTCATACATATTATATTTATGTTGATAATTAAAGTTTAAACAAAACACATCTCCTGGATCGTTTATTGGGTTCTTGGCTCTACTCCATAGATAGAGTTTAACAAAGTGAATTAAAATCAAATTTGCATTAATTAAATCTACATTTAGTATCTTAAATAGTTTAGTATAGTGTTTGATAAGAAATTAGTATTATTCTCTTTTACTTCAATAGAAAAACAAAGGATATTAGGTATATATCGTTAACTGTTTGTTTGCTTCAGTATCTAAAAGTATGTATTTGTCTAATCGCTTACAGCCATAAATTGGTTAAGCCATTTTTTCAACACAATTTCAACTTCATTTTATTATATGACCTGTAAATCATTTGTTCGAGGGGACTGATGAGATTTCTGTAAACGAAACGAGCGTATCGTGTACAAATTGAAATGCTGATATGTTTTATGAATTTTTACAACCAGACAATGAGTATTTCTCCGTACTAAGTTTCGTACATAATCTTAAAATGTTAAATAAATATCCTAGTTTCAAGAATAAAACATCATTGCATGGAAAAAATGCCGAAGCCATGTCAGTTTCGACAGAAGTCTGAATGCGTCTGTAAATCTATTTTTACATTATTTATGACATAAAACATTTCACGATACAATTTCAACCTACAGGATAGTCACATAAAATTACAAAGTGACTATAACAGATGATTTCCATTTTCATAAATGATCTTTTGTGATGCGTCTACTAAAAAATACAAGAATAATTGCAAACAAAAAAGAAAACATAATATTTATTTGCTTTTAAGAAAAAACCGTGCATTTTATATACAACATGCATCGTATAATCAAAGAGTATATAACATTTAACAATATTTGTGTTATCAGAAACGTCAATATCTTTTATAAACGCCCACAATCAATTGGTATAAAAGGAATCAGCATACATTCGATTCGTACATTTGAATTCTGGAATAGAGACGGAAGGTAGGGTTTGCATTCTTAATTTTATTGTAAATTTGCGGTTGATATAATCCTGTTATTGTATCAAAGGTTTCAACACGCTCTAAAAAAGTGAGGGTGTTGCAACATAGGATCAGGTTAAAAATGAAATACCAGTATGTACAATTTCAGAGAATCAAAGTGATTTTGGTAGATTTAATAGGACCGGACAATAATCAAACGGTATTTGAGTGGAAATACAAGCATGTCCGAAACCGGGAAATGCATGCTGCAAAAGGAATTTATTTTCAAAATAAGTCCATATCTCATTTACTTACAGTGGTCGTTATTGATTCTAAATTCATGTCGTTTCGTTTTTGGCATTTTTCTACCTTGGAGAAAAAAATGGGGGGAGGGCTAATAACTTAACTTACGATTTTCATCATGATTCAAATTTATTCTATTACGACATACGTTTGACCTCTAGTCAACGCTCCATCTTATTAAAGTGATGCTCTGAAATTGTTATGATTTTCTTTAGTTTGATCCACTTTACATCTCGTCGTAAATATGCATGACATATTTGCCACTGGACATCAAGGGAGCAATTTATTAATCAGCACCATTAAGTGATATATACTCATTAGGCGTCAGCAGATAATTATCTCAAGCAGTTTACCAATATTTATATATTAGATTTTTTAAGCGTTAATTTTAGCATTTCTTTTCTTATTTTTTTTTCTTTACATTTAATCTTTATGAACATGAAATAACGTAGTTCACATTAGGGGTTATATTATATCCTATCCAACCATACTAGGAGGAGGGGAGCAGAACAGAAAAAAAAAAATCTGCATTGAGTGGCAATAACGCATGGATAACCTGATAACTGATAAGAAGTAAACTGACATATTTAAAAAAATATATATATATTTGTTAATCTGACGTGGAGTTAAACTACATCTGATATTCAAAGTTTACAATTTAGGTTACACAACGTAACACATCTTATATTTTTACACACTTGTTAATGTTATGTGGTGAGATAATGCTAAATAATTATTCATTCGTGAATTGTTCAATGTTTCATTTTAGGCTTAAATAAACTATCGATTTGCCAAGGTATACACCAAATGTTGTCACAAGTGGTTCAATACCCTACAAATTGTTTGGATCATCCAACTTTTTTCCGGATCCTTTACGGGGATCGTGTTGCTTTTTTCATTCTTCTGTACAGTATTTTGTAAACTGTTTTCGGTCAAGTTGTGAGAAGTTTTTTATCATGCAATCGTTCGGTATTTGTGTTGCCTTCGCCTTTTGAAACCTGCTTATATTTTTACTCAGTGGTAAACTTAGGTAATTCACGAAATCAGTAATAACAATTTTCGTGTCACGAATGTTTTGTTGATCAGTCCGTTCTGGTTAATGAGCGAGTTTTGGTCCCATACATAAAACTATTTGACAAGGTTGAAAAAGTTTAAAATTTCTACGCAATGAATGAAATAATTTTTTTTTCTTTTTGAGGCTAATATCAGTATATACATTTTAAGGAGGTATACACCTTTTCTTATGATACTTTCAAATATCATACATTAAGGAATTCATACATATTATATTTATGTTGATCATTAAAGTTTAAACAAAACACATCTCCTGGATCGTTTATTGGGTTCTTGGCTCTACTCCATAGATAGAGTTTAACAAAGTGAATTAAAATCAAATTCGCATTAATTAAATCTACATTTAGTATCTTAAATAGTTTAGTATAGTGTTTGATAAGAAATTAGTATTATTCTCTTTTACTTCAATAGAAAAACAAAGGATATTAGGTATATATCGTTAACTGTTTGTTTGCTTCAGTATCTAAAAGTATGTATTTGTCTAATCGCTTACAGCCATAAATTGGTAAAGCCATTTTTTCAACACAATTTCAACTTCATTTTATTATATGACCTGTAAATCATTTGTTCGAGGGGACTGATGAGACTTCTGTAAACGACACGAGCGTCTCGTGTACAAATTGAAATGCTGATATGTTTTATGAATTTTTACAACCATACTATGAGTATTTCTCCGTACTAAGTTTCGTACATAATCTTAAAATGTTAAATAAATATCCTAGTTTCAAGAATAAAACATCATTGCATGGAAAAAATGCCGAAGCCATGTCAGTTTCGACAGAAGTCTGAATGCGTCTGTAAATCTATTTGTACATTATTTATGACATAAAACATTTCACGATACAATTTCAACCTACAGGATAGTCACATAAAATTAAAAGTGACTATAACAGATGATTTCCATTTTCATAAATGATCTTTTGTGATGCGTCTACTAAAAAATACAAGAATAATTGCAAACAAAAAAGAAAACATAATATTTATTTGCTTTTAAAAAAATAAAACGTGCATTGTATATACAACATGTATCGTATAATCAAAGAGTATATAACATTTAACAATATTTGTGTTATCAGAAACGTCAATATCTTTTATAAACGCCCACAATCAATTGGTATCAAAGGAATCAGAATACATTCGATTCGTACATTTAAATTCTGGAATAGAGACGGAAGGTAGGATTTGCATTCTTAATTTTATTGTAAATTTGCGGTTGATATAATCCTGTTATTGTATCAAGGGTTGCAACACGCTCGAAAAAAGTGAGGGTGTTGCAACATAGGATCAGGTTAAAAATGAAATACCAGTATGTACAATTTCAGAGTGATTTTGGTGGATTTAATAGGACCGGTCAATAATCAAACCGTATTTGAGTGGAAATACAAGCATGTCCGAAACCGGGAAATGCATGCTGTAAAAGGAATGTATTTTCAAAATAAGTCCATATCTCATTTTCTTACAGTGGTCGTTATTGATTCTAAATTCATGTCGTTTCGTTTTTGGCATTTTTCTACCTTGGAGAAAAAAATGGGGGGAGGGCTAATAACTTAACTCACGATTTTCATCATGGTTAAAATTTATTCTATTACGGCATACGTTTTACCTCTAGTCAACGCTCCATCTTATTAAAGTGATGCTCTGAAATTGTTATGATTTTCTTTAGTTTGATCCACTTTACATCTCGTCGTAAATATGCATGACATATTTGCCACTGGACATCAAGGGAGCAATTTATTAATCAGCACCATTAAGTGATATACACTTATTAGGCGTCAGTAGATAATTATCTCAGGCAGTTTACCAATATTTATATATTAGATTTTTTAAGCGTTAATTTTAGCATTTTTTTTCTTATTTTTTTCTTTACATTTAATCTTTATGAACATAAAATAACGTAGTCCACATTAGGGGTTATATTATATCCTATCCAACCATACTAGGAGGAGAGGAGCAGAACAGAAAAAAAAAATCTGCATTGAGTGGCAATAACGCATAAGCGTACAACGACGGCAGTCTCGTCTAAGTGACAAAATTTGCTGATTTAAGTTATTTTTTATCTGGTATAATAGTTGTTATAATAGCAGCCGAACAGCCGAACTGACACACCCTTTTAGCAAGGGTATACTGTCGGACTTGAGAGGTCCATAGATGTCAATATTCTATACCCAAGTCAAGCCTTTGGTTTTGGATAAAGTGAGATAAAGGTAAACATTAATGTGGCAGCTACCCAAGGACACAGACAAATCAAAATATTAAGAGTCAACTTAGTCTTTTGTTACAGAAAGATGCGTATACAGAATAAGCTCAAAACTGTCCCCTGACTAAAAATTATGGAGTTAATTTAACAATATCTATCTAATTGCGCAGTAAGCAATCAAAGGTAAACACTTATCGTAATAGTTTGAAAAAAAAGCCTGGGCGCTTTCTCAAATTTTTATATACATGTACGAAAAAGATTATCTGATGAATGTTAATATGAAAATCTAAAATGAACAAGTTGGTATATCTTAGATCGTGCAGTACTTGTTAAGATTTATACACATTTGGTCCAGACAAAAAAAATTGCATTAGCTGAAACTAGTAAAACAATTTTGCAACGTCTCACATAATGTGTGTACTCTATAACGCACCTACACTTCTTAATGATTTTAAAATTTAATAAACTAACAACTGCAATATTTTCAGCAATTGTGTTCCAGTTTAAATACATGCGATATAAACTTCAATTGCTACTTTTTATTGTCCGGTATTCATTTTCTACTCAAATGGTCATTCAAATTTTGTTTGTGCTATTAATATGTTTTGCTGTTGACACACAAATCTCGAAAACAATCAGTGTTTTAAACAGTAGATACATACAAGATGTGTGTTTCATTTACACGATAAAGGCATAAAGAATCCATTCATACATCATTTTTTCCTGGGTATTCAATTGTTTTATCATTTTGAAAAATAGATATTGTATCACGATATTATCATGTACGGGTTGATTTTATAATGTATTTATCAATCAAATATTTAAAAGAACAAACTTTTTTTTTTCGTCAACCACTTTTCAATTACTGTCAATATCCAACAAAGAAGGTACTCTCCTTCCAAAAAAATAACCACGACTTGATGTTGTACTTGATTACATTCCATCATTTTAATCCCTTTTGGAATGTGAATTAAATGTCGATAAAACTGTAAAAGATTATAGGGCATATGTACCAAATTTCTCCTATAAAAAGTTTTCTTTCATATTTAAGATATCAGAAATCATTTAAAATTCGTTGAGATGGTTATCATATTATCATATTATCCTATTATACTTTTTCCGAAATTTAAAATAAAGCTTTTGACGGAAAATGTTTCGATTCAATTGATGTTTCCTTTTTGCTATAACCTGGTAACTGATAAGAAGTAAACTGACATATTTAAAATATATATATATATTTGTTAATCTGACGTGGAGTTAAACTACATCTGATATTCAAAGTTTACAATTTAGGTTACAAAACGTAGCACATCTAAATCTAATATTTTTACACACTTGTTAATGTTTTGTGGTGAGATAATGCTAAATGATTATTCATTCGTGAATTGTTCAATGTTTCATTTTAGGCTTAAATAAACTATCGATTTGCTAAGGTATACACCAAATGT